TTTCAAAAAATTTTGTGTGATGATGTTATGAGACGTGAAGCATAAGAGTATTTATAGACTCATAAGTTAGGTAAAAAAGGTCCTTGATCGGAAAGCATAAAATATCTATATATAGATTGTTGGATCACAATTAGCAAATAAATCCTGAAGTTGAGAAGTATTTACAATGGCATGCCATTAACATTAATTATTTAGATTTGTTTTATTTAAGTAAAGATTTTTAAATGAAATTCATTTATCATATATTTAGCAAAAGTCTCTACAAAATCTTTCCTTATCTATTTAAGTAAAGATTTTGAAATCAAATATGTTTTCAACAATTTACCAAAAATCTCTACACAATCTTTTTAAAAATCTCGACTTAGTTAAGTTCTGATTTTTATCTGCAAAAAAAAAAATTAATAGTAACGAGTGATGTAAAAATCGGGAATGTTGATACTACAATTTCTTCTACTTTTTTTTTCATATAATGAAAATTATTTTTTAGGGATATTTTCTCAAAACCTCTAAATAAAACAAAGGGTTTCAAAAGATAGCTTCTCTTTTGGCGGGTCGACCCGCAAACCCGCAACTCTCTACGGGCTTATCCGCATGAATATGCGACCCGTAGTGGATAAAAATATTATTCAAAAAAAAATAACAAATGATGTTTAATTTTACGGGACGGGGTTTTATGGTGCAACGGGTTTGGATCGATATTAATATTAAACAATATACTATGGATGAAATCCTAGAATTATAAATCAAAATTTAATTATAAAATCAGAAACACTAAACAAAATAAAAAATATTAACAAAACAAATACAACTTAAAATTTTGCTAAATAATTTTTTAGTTATAAAAGAATCGACCCGCGGTGTACCGCGGGGTAAAATCTAGTTCGATAACATAACTAAATTGGAATAAAATCTTAGCTATAGTTTTGTAATTAGGAAATGTTGTGAATATGTATTTTGAGTCATAAATTTGTTTCTAAAAAATTGATTTCTTGCAGATTTTGAGAGAAAATATCTTTGATAGGGTATGTGGGAGTAATTAGTTTGGATGACATCCAACAGTTTAGATTTTTTAAAGAAAGCGTATTGAATTTGGGCAGGATTTTTGGCAACGATTAGTTCATCGCAATATCTTTTCTAAAGATATTTTTGGCAACGATTTTTGTAATAACTTTAATATAATTTTTTAAGTTAGTTTAGATGGCATAAATAGTCGAGAACTGTCGGATCGGTCTTTCGTTTCCAATGTGGCTTCAAGTGCAAACCAAGCTCAACTTTGTTACACTCAGAAACACTGGAATTGAAGATATAATACCCGATGGCTGGTTCGAAGGAATCGGTTCTGAAGTAACTTACCTGATTCTCACAAACAACATAATCAAAGGTAGATTACCTCATAAGCTTGCGTTCCCAACGTTAAACACCATTGATTTGAGCTCCAACAACTTTGAAGGCCCTTTTCCTCTCTGGTCAACAAACGCAACAGAGCTGCGTCTTTATGAGAACAACTTCTCGGGTTCTCTTCCACTTAATATTGATGTCTTGGTGCCAAGAATGCAGAAGATCTACCTCTTCCACAACAACTTCACCGGAAACATCCCATCGTCTCTATGTGAAGTCTCCGGATTGCAAATTCTGTCTCTAAGGAAGAACCATTTCTCTGGTAATTTTCCAAAATGTTAGTGATATAAGATTGGAATCACTCCAACTTAAGATCACTCAAGGATCACGAGATTCCAAGCTTATCACGCGGAAGGTGGGATTAACTAGCTGGCTTTAACGCTCTCTCTCGAGAATCAATGGATAGAAGTTGTAGATAGAGTTTTGTCGTTGAATCACACAACAACACACGAACCAGAATGTTTGAGTCTCATAAACAAACGAGAAACGCAATCAAACAAGACTAAGGAATCACACCAATAGGCTTGAATTGACAAGAACACAAAAGACTACACGCTTTTGAAGAAAACACAAGGTTTAATAAAATTACTTGAATGAGACTTATTTTTACAATGGGACAAGCTGAGCTTATATAGAGCTCTTTCTCAACGTTCTAAAAGCGTAGAATAGGAAATCAAATCGCAAAATTAAAAGAAAAACTAGCAGTTGGCATTTTAATGCGCAATCTGGCCAAATAAGGAAACTGTCTTGATGTCTTGAGCGTTGAAAGCTTTGGTGCGAAATTGTGGTGTCTTGGAATGTCTAGATGCACTGAATAAGCATCCAAAACGCAGCAGCAATGAAAAGGACAGACTCGACCAGAGATCGAGTGGAGGTAGCTCGACCAAGTAGCTCGACCTAGACTCGAGCTAAGCTTCATTTGGGTATTGCTTGAGTGATCTAGGCAATCTAGTGGCTCGGCTTGCTCATCTTCAAAGGTAGCTCGATCATTCCAGCTTATAGTGGGTAGATTGGGGTCTAGAAAGAACAAATCATGGAAGATCGTCTCCCCTTTATCCATGATGTGTTCCCCAAGGAAGATCGTCTCTCCTTTATCCTTGGCTAGACCGTCATATCCGTTGATCCTAGCTGATTTTGACTTGATGTCCACATCAGTTGGCACCGTCAGTTCATTCTTTGAGGAATTGACATGTTTGAGAATAACTTATTAGACGCAATACCAGAGTCTCTCGGTATGTTACCTTCTCTCAGCGTCTTGCTTCTGAACCAAAATGCGTTCGAAGGTGAAATCCAAGAGAGTCTTCAGAATTGCTCTAGCCTTACGAACATTGATTTTGGAGGAAACAAGCTGACTGGGAAGCTTCCTTCATGGGTAGGAAAGCTGTCTTCTCTGTTCATGCTTCCTCTGCAAAGTAACTCCTTCACTGGTGCAATCCCAGATGATCTCTGCAGCATTCCGAATCTACGCATTATGGACCTCTCTCGAAACAAAATCTCGGGCCTGATTCCAAAATGCATCAGCAATCTCACAGCCCTTGCTCGAGGTACAAGAAATGAGGTGTTCCAGAATCTCGTATTCATTGTGACAAGAGCTCGTGAATACGAAGACATAGTCAATAGCATAAACTTTTCAGGGAACAACATAAGCGGAGAGATCCCAAGAGAAGTCTTGGGCCACTCATATCTCGAATCTTGAATTTATCTAGAAACTCCATGGTAGCAAGCATTCCCGAGAAAATTTTAGAACTGGGTCGCTTGGAGACGCTTGATCTATCAAGAAACAAAGTTTTCTGGAGCCATTCCTCAGAGCTTGGCAGCAATATCTTCTCTACAAAGGCTGAATCTTTCGTTCAATAAACTGGATGAGAGCATACCTAAGCTTCTCAAATTTCAAGATCCAACCATTTACGTTGGAAATGAGTTACTCTGTGGGAAACCATCTTCCTAAAAAATGTCCAAAAGACATTAATAGCAAAACGTCGTAGTGAATTGAGCATAGGGAAGGTGCTAAGAAGTACCTTACAAGATTAATGTACCTGCTCATATACCAATAATAATAAAATTACTAGCTCTATGCTGACCATGATGTAACCAATTACAGAAACTTAGCCTCTTAAGACAAATCGATGTAAAAGAAAAATGAAAATTTCAGGTTTCATTTCCGAATAAAACTTGGACGTTTATGAATCCTTCCTACACAATTATAACAACCTGACCAGGTAACTTCAAGTAGCTCAGAACAACAACATCACTTTCAGCAGCATCACTTGTAAAAACCAACCAACTAAATCAAATCTTCTGAAGTAAACCTAAATGATATAGGTCGAACAAGAACCTTGTGCATACTTGTCAACAACACAAAAGCTAATCAAGAGACAGTATAGAACTGCCCTTTCGGCACGAAAACGACTCTAACTTACCCTATCCAGGAATACAAAGAGAACAATTTTCAATTTGTTTCTCACATATTGATCATCCACTTGAAAATAGTACTGAGGACGAGACACAACGACTTATCAGTCAATTTTGAAAAAAGTTAAGAAGTTCAAATTGATGAAAACCACACATTTTTCTGGAGACCAAGAACAACATATATTTTCTCTGCACATACCTATATCCCAAAATTGAAACAACAATTCACTATTCACACAAAAATTTATGTCTCTTATTCATATAAAGGCAATTGAAACAGTAACAATAACAATTTTCATTATAATGTTAAGTCCAAAGTTTCAGTTTTGTTGTTTATCCACAAAAAGTCGCAAGCATAGAGTGAAAATGGGCAAATTCTAGGACCGATACTCATCAATCATTTCCTGAAAAATTAATCTAAAAGAAGAATCCACAACTAAGCATCTACACTATCAATGGGAGAAATTAAAAGAGCTTTCAGATTGAAACCATCACCATAAGGAACGAAATCCCGATGCAAAGCAAAAGCACATACCTTTGGAGGGAGAGAGCAACGACGACGAGTCGGATGCGAACCGGTATTTTTGTTCTGGTTTCATATTTAGGTTCGATTTTGGTTAAAATAATTCGATTTGATTTTTCTGGTTACGGATTTTGGTTTAAATTAGTGTGGTTTTCTGGCAAGTATTTATAAACTTTTAAATATTTGAAAATAACTAAAGTTTTGGTACCATCTCTTTTGCTTTTTAAAAAAACAAATGAAGCTTCAAAAAGAATTAATTACGGATTTCGCCCTTTTTTATAATGGCATTTATGGATTTTGCCCTTTTTTGAAAAGTTTATGGATTTTGCCCTTTTTTAAGCTCCAAAAATATGATTTAACATGCGTTTCATTCGTTATGTTTGTGTTTAGTCGGTTCCATTTGTTCTTAGGGTTTAGTATTTGGTATAATGTACGTATTTTTGCAAAAAAAAATCATAAATACGTACATTTTTAAGTGTTAAAAAAGGGCAAAATCCATAAACTTTTCAAAAAAGAGTAAAATCCATAAATGCCATTATAAAAAAGGGCAAAATCCGTAATAATCTTTTATTAAGGAAATGATCATGAATTTGAGTAGGTGAAATGAACAAACAAAAATCTACCAATTTGATAAACTCATATCTAGTCATTCTATATAAAAATTCTACCAAAAAAGTATAAAAAGCTCCATCATCATTAACATATTACAAAAAAAAAAACTAAAAATCTTTGCAGTTTCTAGTTTGATTATAGAAAAATGGAATCGAGGACGATGAAGATTATATTTTATCTTATGGTTTTTGTTTTTGTTTTTTGGGATCCTTCGAGTGCTCAACCAACGGATCCGGAGGGGTGTTTTAAGGCGTTTAAAAGCACATCAAGAGGATGTCTCGAAGGTGAAGGATCACCTCGAAGATCTAAGATTCGGTGTTAATGGAAGAGGATGATGATCGAAAGAAATAAATGAGATTGAAGAAGATAATTTGTGTTTTTGATTGATTATCAGAAAATGGCTAAAACCCTTTACATATAGAGTCAAGATGGTTTGGTTGTCTAAACAAATGACCAAAGAAGATACGTGAACCCGGAATTAGAAAACTAAATCGGTTATCGGTTTATTCTGTTACAATACTCCCATGTCGAGAACGTCCTTGTCCTCAAGGATGAAAGATTGCCAAACTGCCAATTAAAGCTTGAGAAATTCACAGTATGGTACCATTTCCATAGAACAAGGGCTTTAAGGACAGAGATGTTGTGATGTAACTGATGTTTAGCCATCCCCTTATCAAAGTAGGCTTTAGGTTCCTTAGCTTGGCCTGTATGAAAGATAGAGTGCCTAAATTCAATGAAGTAGATAAGCAAGACTTCCTTGGTAGTGGTCTCATCTAGTAAGTCCTTAAGTAAAGGATTGTAGTACTTGTCATCAACGGTTGGCTTGATGATCCCTTTATAATCATCACACATTCTCCCATATCCATTCACAAACCCAATTAGATGACCCCACAGCCTGCGTTGTTTCTTTTCGAAAGAACCCATAGACTTCCCTCCTTTGATTCTTCCATGAAGATCAGACTCTCCTTTGATATCTAGAGCAGCAGTATTAATCAAACAAGCAATATTCTTGCGATTCTTGACAACATGTAACGCTCCCAAAAACAGACACAACTCCATACATGGCTTTCCATAGTAGATATGTAATCAAACCACCTACAACCTTCTGTTCTTTCACCCATAAGACCACATGAGCCCTTGTACCTACCTCAAATCTCATTTTACACTTAATGTTCCTTCCTGCCATGAGTTTATGTTGTTCATTCTGTAGCAGAGCTCTCAACATAAGTTCATGTATGTACTTGAATTCCTAGGTCTTGTGGTACGATCACTTTTTCTCTGACCATTTCATTAGCTTCCTCCAATCTCTAGAATAGCTTAAAATAGCCTAAACTCTTTAATCAATCAGTCCACATGAGCAGCTCTATTTCTTTCACTTCTTATGTAACACAACTGTACCAACAAGCTGCGGTGTTTTTTCATCAGATGACTGTGATTGTAAACTCAGAGAAAAACAGAATTGCACTGAAATGATCTATATTCATTCATAGGTTCCAATGCCTTTTATAGGGAATACATAAGAACTGCAACAACGAAAACAAAGGAGGACACAACCTCAACTAGCTCAACTAGTTCCACTACTAACGAGAAAATAGCAAACAGAAATTGACCTCTTCTAATCCTGAAGACTTGGTCTTTATTTAAAACAACTGAAACTTACTCAACAATGACTAGGAGAAATCGTTAGCGTAAGCTCTCCATGAAGATTCAAACCTTTATTGTCTTCTAGAGATGCAGTGTTCTTAGCCACATAAGTCGTATTCTTGCAATTCTTGACAGTTTGCAGCACTTGTGAGAACAAAAACCTCTCATCGATAACTTGCAACGCTGGCTTCTTACGACCAAGCAAGTGGATTACTAACCCGTGCTTCCATAGCAATTTTTTTTGTTACCATTTATTATGAAATGTTGCTCATAATTTCTTTATCCACATTCATTTCTCTTCGTTCCTCATTTTGAACATTTTAATTTCTTCCTTACCTGAAGTGTTTATTCATCAAATGTTCAATAATAATTATTTAAAAACAAATATTGTTGGGAGACAACCCAATGTTCCACATCACAAAATTATAAAATAATATTTTAATATATAATAAGTCAACTCCAATTTCAATTAGTATGAGACATTTTGAGAAGAAGCACAAAAACAAAGGCGTAACTAAAGCGAACAATATCATATACTAATAAGGAAGTTGGCTTGGGCTTGGACTATTATCTTGTAAGAATATTGACTGAATATCATTTCTTCTAAAGTTTTCCATGTAAAAACGATTTCATGCATATTGATTGAAGAAATGTATAAGAAAATGTATATACAAAGTGATTTTATACTTTGAAAAGAAGAGTAAAATAGGAATATATCTACAAAAATTTAATCAAAAGATATGTTATCCTCGATACAGAATCATATCTATATCTAATTAAAATTACATGTCTTAATACACATAATCACTTATGTTCTACTAGAGAAATGATCTTCAAATTGAGTAGCACTTACTATGTTACATTTAATTATGCTTAATTTTCTGACTAGGTGAAATGAAGAAGAAGAAAAAAACTACCAATTTGAGTAAATCAATATCTAACCATTTTATTTAACAAAGAAAAAATCTAACCATTCTATTTAAAAAAATATGGTAATGAACAACTATAAAAAGCCGACATTATTATCATCATCATCAAGAACAGAAGTGTTACAAACTAAATTCACTTAATTATTTATACTCTGACACAGAAAATTGCATCTAAGACGATGAAGATAACTTTTTTGCTCATGGTTCTTGTTTTTTTTATAACTTGGTCTTGTTCGAGTGCTCAACCGATTGATCCTAACGCATGTTGGCAGGCGATTAAACAGCCACCACATGAATGTCTCGAGAGCATAAAGGGAATTGTACACGGACATGTCCATGAGATCAAGAAAGAATGTTGCGAAACCGTAAGTACAGTTTCTGATTTGTGTTGGCCAATCATCTTCCCAAGCATGCCTTACATTCGTTTTCTATTGAAGGGTATTTGTACAGTCAAATACTCATTGCATTGAAGTGCCAATTTGAAGAGTATTTTACTTCGTTTTGATATTCTTAAGAATGACAATTTAATTATCTATTTTAATATTTGTCAAATGTATTTTACATATAATTATCTTTTTATATTTGGTTGAATGAAATTACAATCTGTTTTTCATATAATAAAATTACAAGTAATGAAGATTGTTGGCTCTAGTGAAATTATCATCAACCAACGTCATCACATCAATATGTTTCCGGAAGGCCACTTTCTCTTAAGCTCATTTCTACAACAAAGCTATCCCAAAATCAACAATACATACACAAGTATCAACGAAGTCATCATTACATACACACAGAGAAAATCATAAAATTTACACTTATCTCGAATCGAATCCCTCTTTCTTTTTTCTCGATAGATCCATAACACCTATTTTTGGTTACTAGGTTCTTATACCACATGAGAAACTATATGCTTTAATTAAAAATCAATTAGTAATGAGTTTATTGGTATGTATGTGATAGATTATTCCTAAAATGCCTTTTCAAAATGATAATTCTAACCATTTATCTTGACAGAATCTCATTATAGAGGATCATTTTCATGTAGAGTAGAAGGGAAACACTCTTTATTAAATCTTCGAAGCTCTTACAGAAACAAAAGTGGTCACATTATGAGTGGAACTAACAAAATAAAACCCAAATCTGAAAACAGGAAAGAGTTAGAAACTCTTTAATTATTATTATTTAGGACATTGAAACCAAATCCTAATAGAAAACATCTAAGGTGGAGTCTGTTTTAGAGAAGCCAATGAACTCGACTTCAACCTTAATCGCATCGTCCACCACTAAACCTTTAGATGCATCTTTAAGATCAGCAAGTGATACAAACTTCTCGTAACCCCATCCATTATTATTAGTTGTTGCATTAGGCCATCCCTCCACTGTCCATCAAAATAAAAATAAATGAATTCAATGAAAAGTTTTAGTTGTTAACAAAATTAAAGGACACATAAATAGTGAGAGAACACTGACCTAGCTTCTCGACGTGGTTGGATCGGATTTGGTCCAGAACTCTTAGCTTGGCTCGAACATAAGCATTTTCATTAGAATCACTCAGCAAATAGAGTGACAATGAATTGCCCTTTCCATAACCATCTCCATTTGGATACACCTTCAACACCCTATTTCATTAACATTACTTATTAATACATTGAAAGATAGATATAATTAAAACATAGAAAGAGACAGAGAAAATCACCAGCTACTTCCTCCGGAAGAAAATGGGGCGGATGTGTAAGAGTCACTATAGAGAGTTGAGAATTTGGTGAGTTTCCATGTGTAAATGGGGTCTTTATGTTTTCTTCAAAGGAGAAAACTTCCCATTCCTTGAAGGTTTGAGCAACGAAGATGTCAATTCCAAACACACATTGTTCTCCATCGAAAATGTATCCGGTTGTCGGCGTTGAGAACACCGACGTCGGTTGAAATAATGGAACTCCATATTCAGGTTTGAACAAATGAAACCTCCTCGCCTCAGTTTCTACAATAATTTTTTTTCATTTTTTGTTGGACCCAAAAGATTTACATAATAATTAACATTTCCGGTTACAATAAAATCTCTATCAATTAATAATATCAAAAATATACTAATCCCCTATATATTAATAGAGAAACATTTTAAAAAAAAAAACTTACCATCATGTGTTATTAACAAGATTGCCACGCTGATGTGTCGCTCTCACAATGATTTGGTTTCTATTTAGATAATTACCCAAGATTTATTAGACTATTTATAGAATTTGTCATTAGTCTAATACATTCATATATCCCATTAATAATTAAAAACATACACTTTTTGTTTATCTTATATTACTATATTTTTATATTTCTTTATATACATTTATATAAATTTTCTTTAGTGGATGGGTAAACAATCTTTTTATTTATATTTATATTTATGTTTATATTTAAATGATAAAATATATATATTTGGTTCAAGAATCTCGAATTCAAAACTACAAAATCTTTACATCTTTCATAAATTTTTTACTTAAATAAATAAGATAATCTCCTTTCTATATATGTTACGAATACTTAAAATCCTATTTTTTGGAGGAGTTCTAACTTTTCAAAGAAAAACATTATAACCATATTTGTATATAAACCAAAATCTGGCCACATTATAACTATTTCGTAAGTAATCCATTCATAATCTAAGAATCTTAGATTTGGAACACTACAAAATCTTAGCTTGGAAACTATCAAATCTCAACTTTGCTAAATTTTAGATTTCTTATACTTATTAAAAAAAAAAAAAATCTTTTTATACTACAAAATCTCGAAATCTTTAAAACATACGGAAAGACATATTGCCATAAATGGTAACATTTCGTCAATACTTTTTTATCACGTTGAAGCTTTATTCAAAGTTTAAATATTTCACGGGTAAAACATATTCTTATATGAAATAGTCCCAAATTTGAATAAAAAAAAAAAAATTGTAACATGTTTCGTTTTACACAAACGGATCTTGGATCCCGGATAATAATTTTACTTGAATCTATCCCGGTATTAATTTATAGAGGTTATACTGTAATTAGAACGTTTTAGGCATTAATCTCCCTAGATTAATAAATTCACAAAGCTTATATCATCATTTTTCAAACATAGCAATAAACTTGAAGTAGGTCTAATAGCAAGGTAACAACACTTTTTAAACCGGATAAATAAGATGTATAATAAATAACTAAATATCAGTCATCGACAATCTATCAATACGTTACCTACCTTGATAGGTGTAGTACTTGTCGTAGACTCTGTTGTAGACGAAGAACTTGACCTCTGCATACACATCCTTTGGATCGGAGATGAGAGTTGAGTTATCGATTCTTGCGTAAAGCGAAACATAACCATTCGCACCATCTTTTTTGTTGCCATTCGGGTAGATTAGGAACGTCCTTTTAACATTTTAATTGATAGGCAAATGTTGTGATTAGTGAGAAAAGTCAAAAAAGATATAAAAAATCAGATTCTTGAAAATATGTTATTGAGACTTTTAATACCAATTGTATCCACCGATGGTGAAAGGACGTGACTCATACTTCCCATCTTTCACGAGTTTCAACAACGTCGCTAAAGACTGGAACTTGATGCAGTAAGACGTAGGAGGACGCTCTCTCCATAGTGTCGCCACGGCTGAGAGCTTCTCGTGTTTGTCTTTCTTTGGAAGAGAAGAATCAGAGCTCGAGCTCGTAAAGTGACATGGCGAGACCGTGTTCTTCACGTAATGACTTCCTTCTACTACTGCTTCTGCTACTGTCTCTGTTATTATAGCGTCTGTCTCGGTTAAGAGGTTTTGCTTAAGGTTGTAATAAGGTTTTGCGCATCTTACCACTTCTGCAAAGAAAACGAAATAGAAGAAGCAGAACAAGAAGACTGATTTTGTGGCTATCTTCTTCTCTGTAACCATTTCTATTATTTGGAGAGTTTCAAGGTTTGTGTTGAGAATCTAATTTTGACCATTGTATTATATAGAAAAATAATTTTGTTCATCTATTGCCAGTGAAGGAAAGACCAGGAGGGTAAGGCAATAACTTTTTGAAATTGTTGTAAATCGTTTTATTATTGTAATAGATTGGGACATAGTTTTTTCTGTTTTTAATAATAAGATTGGGACTTGTCACATAGTACAATCTTATAATATTATAAGAATTTCACGTGGTATTTTAAAATCTAGCACGTTCGATTTTATCTAATTATAGAATCTCTATGGTCGCTAACGACGCAAATGATCTGAAAAAAATTATCATTTAGAAAATAATCAAGTGACAAAATCGTAAATAAAAATAACTCAAATTTTAGCACATTTTTAAAAATTATTTCTCGTATTCTACATAACCCAATTTAATAATTAAGTAGCATAAATAGATTGTTTACTTTACAGTTTGATATTTATATGTCTAGAGTTTACCGACGATGATATATAACCACAACATTCAATAAAACAAAAACTTCCAAGATTGGTAAAAAATACTTTAAAGGTTTTAGAAATAAGTAATCCTTACAAAAAAAGGACGTATACGTATCTTAGAAATTATGGTTATTATATTTAGTGCTGATGATAAAATTGAAAATGATACTACTACATATCTTAGTTTAATTTGAAAACACATTATGAAAGACATTTGATGCAATAACAAACATATATAGAGATGAGTTAATTTAATTTTTAAGAAGAAAAAATCAATAAACAATAGTATAATCGTACAGTAGTTAACTATCATCAGTTCATAACTATATGTATATGTAAAATTATTATTTGTGAAGGTTTTGAATAGAAAGTGCAGAATAACTGCAGAAAAAAGTAAAAGAATTTTTTGTTGTTGTTTTATCATATTTTTTTCAAATTTTGAATCTATCCAATTCTAAAGTAAAAGAATTATTAATTTATTAAAATACCCATTTAAAGAAGTTGTACTGTACTAACCACCTCCTTATTTCAATCCCGAAGAGGCAAGTTACATGATTTCAATTTCGAAGAGGCACGGAGACCATATATTATAAATTTATAATAGTAATAGACGAGAGCAGTTATGACGATCTAAAAATATTAAAGTCTCTTTTACCAAAAAAAAAAAAATTTATATTAAAGTCCATGTTGCATTTTATATTTATCACGTGCAAATATCTTCCACGGTATATAGTATAGATTAGTAGTGTTAATCTTATACTCCTAATAAGTAATAGTAGATAGCACTGTTTAAACAAAATTTAAAATAAAACGTTAAACGGTAAGTAAATAACATTTTAGAGACTAGTGCCTAAACGTTTAATAGGGGATATTGGTAGTTTGAGATTGATCAACTCATTTATAAAAATAAAACAAAATATAGTATGATATTAGTGTTTGTAGTGATTTTGTATCCACTTGTCACCGGTTGACACATATAGTCAATAGTACTACGATCACAACAAGGACGATGCACTGAAAGTAAACCACCAGCTCTATCATGTCGTGATGATGGTTTCTTGTATACCGCATCCGATGCGACCGAGATGGGTCAACCCGTGTTAAGGCCTAACATTGCCCGAACCAGGTATTTCTATAAATATAACAAAATTTTGATCAACAAGGGAGATATGCATCAATTAGTTCACAAATCCTATTTTACCGCAAAAAAAAAAGACTAGACCCTCAACCTTAGAGCATGCACATAGGTGATACTCATAAAGTATCATTAACAATTTTTTAGTATTATTTATAATGTTTGTTTATTGTTTGAGATTTTTTATGATACTGGTAATAAATCTGTTTCTAGTGGTGAGACCGGTATCGGTATCATTAATAAAAAAAATTATTTGCAAAATCGAAAATAAATATATAAAAACCTAAAATTACAAAAGATAATATTACAATCTATGAAAATATTGATTTGTAACAATTGATTTTGCAAATAAGCAAAAAAAAAAAAAAAACGCTAAACAGAACAACAAGTTACAAGATGCCAGTCAATTTTGTTGCAATTTGAAGTTTAGATCACACGTTTGTGTGTTTCTCTCTTTGTACAACCATGAAAAAGATTTTTCTCTTAAACATTCATATTTGCATACATGATAAGTTTACACACATTACACATACGCACACAAGCTGTTATTGGCTTGGACCTCTTTTGCTTTCTTTGAATTCTGGATTTCAGGTCTTGATGGCATTTTAGGTGCTTGTCTTTTGCTTTCTCTGAACTGAAAATCTCAGCCCAACAAAAAGAATCAGGGTCAAGTCATCAACAGAGTTCACAGCTTCTCCACCACATGCCAAAACCAAACGTTCCATGTTCCTCCTCTTTGCTCTTCTAAGAGCGATTATCTGGAGATACATATAAACATATATAAGGAAACAGAATGATAATTCGATTGTAACAACTTGTATACACAAGAAACAAGGTACAAGACAAGAGACAAGCTTAGTGGAAGATCCATGCATATAAGAGATTCTAGGTGAATCTGTCAACAAAAACAGAGACTCTAATTGCCCTAAAATTAAAGAACCCTAATAAGAAATTTGCCATCATCAGTGTTACAGTGTTGTTACAACAAATATATACAAGAACAGATATCAATCAAACAAATTCTAAAACAATTTTGCAGTCAATTTTTAACTAATAATTGCAAAAAAAGCTTTTCATGTTCAAGAAATTGAAGAATAACGAGTGAATGTTATCTACACCTCTGAGTTCCAGTAATCCTTCAATAGGTTTATACATTGCGATACTACTAATATCGAATTTACCATCATCAGATTGCATCATCGACTCCATCAAATTCTTAGACATCCATCTCTGTAGCAAGTCAAAGCACAGCTACAAAAACCAATCCCCAATGAAAATCAGATTAAACCTCATCGCAACAATCACAAAGAGAGAAGAAATCATCGTAAACTTTCAAAACTCACTGTACTCTCAGCTAATCCAAGCTGAATAATCTCGTCCGTGTTCTTAATCCGATCGTACGGATCCGTCTTGACTCTCTCCAACCCAATGTAATAAGGCGAATCGGAAGGTTTCGCCAGAGGAACAGCTCGAGAGGAGACTCGAACTCGTCCGATCGAGTTTCCACGAGAGAAGAGATTAGTCCGTGACGACGTTCTCGGTAACTCCGTCGGGTTGGAGGGAGGAGGACGGGATCGTTTTAGGTAAAGCTGGAGAAAGTAGAAGAGACAACAAGGAATGAGAGAGCCGACGAAGACATTTTTTTTTCTCTGTTTTCACCAAAAATACATTCACGGTCGAATAGCCTTCTGCCACATCATCTGATACTGAGTCTCACAAATATCAGTCCACTGATACGGATCAGACCCAATTATGTGGTTTTATCTATTAAAAAATTGTTTTTGGGCCAATGATACTGAGAAAAGATCACCGGTGTACATAGGGTCACATTCTGTTCCATTTCCCGGAGAAAAATTATTCATTCTTGTTTCAAGCTCATAAACATCCAAAATATGTCCTACATCCTTTCGACTCAACCTAAACCTCTACTCTTCTTTTGTCTTAATGGTACACCGTTTTCCGTCCAATCATATCCATCAGATATGCAGGTTAGAATTTTTTAAAACTAAAAGTAAATTAACAAAAAACATATATTAAAATTTTGTTCTAAATAGAAACTATCTTTACAAAGTAAATAGAGAGTTTTTTTAGCTAGAGAAAAAAATTATATATATATATATATATATATATATAAACACGTATTTGCCTTGATACAATAATTTTTATTTCTATATTTCAAATTTATTGTAAAATTCTTACAATAATCTAGTAAATTTAAATTAATATTTCTTACAAAAAAATATTGTCTTGTTTTGAATTCTGAAAAATGAATGAATTATTGAATTATTATGAAAAAACTGTTGATGATGTGGCATTGTATATATAGTATTATATCAAAACAATTAGTTAATAAATTTAGTTTTCATTGGTATTTAACTTCTCTAATTCATTTGGCACGAAATATATAAAAATTAATGTGGCACTCTAGTTGGCGAAATGCTTAATTACTTTGGTATATTATATATGATACCTAAATGTATTTTGTAGTATCTGTAATACATGATCACATACACATAATTAAGTGACCTTGTTTAAAAGGCTATCTTTTATAAAGGAAATGATCATGAATTTGAGTAGCATATATACCAAGATATATGGAACTATATTATCATATCTGACTAGGTGAAATGAACAAACAAAAATCTACCAATTTGAATAAACTCATATCTAGTCATTCTATATAAAATTCTACCAAAAAAAGTATAAGAAGCTCCATCATCATTAACATATTACAAAAAAAAAAAAAAAATTGGAGTTTCTAATTTGATTATTGAAAAATGGAAACTAAGACGATGAAGATTATATTTTTTCTTATGGTTTTTGTTTTTGCAATGACTTGGTTTCCTACGAGTGCTCAACCAACGGATCCGGAGGGGTGTTTTAAGGCGTTTAAAAGCACATCAAGAGGATGTCTTGAAAGCATAAAAGGAATTTTACATGGACATGTCCATGGGATTAAGAAAGAATGTTGTGAAACCGTTAGTATAGTTTCTGATGTGTGTTGGCCAATAATTTTCCCAAGCATGCCTTACATCCGTTTTGTATTAAAGGGTATTTGTACTATTAAATACTCTTTGCATTGAAGCATTTGAGGATTTGTTTTGTTTGATATTCTCAAAGTGAGAATAAAAGATCATCTACTATAATAAATAAAATATTATTAATCATATGTTTTAAATTACCATTAAGTATCAGATATACATTTATAATTCATATATAATTAAACTTCGATTGATTGATTCCATGAAAATATTGTTGATGCACGAAATCACATAAGTACGAAATGGGGATCAATTGCAACTATTACGGGTTGGTTAACAACCGCTTTGAGAAGAGATGCCTCGTTGTTATTAGATACGTATCTGGAATCATCGATAGTAACCCTGTAACCTCTGGCCTTAGAAGGATCGCATCTTTCTTTGACACCCTTGTACGGGTAGTTTGCATCGGTGGTGATTCCACCATTTTTTTTATAATCTTTTGCATCGGTAGTGATTTACATTTATCTCAATGAACTTATTAGGCTATTAACTTTTACCAAGTCCGTAGAAGTATGTGATGATGAACTACGAGCACAGCCGTGCCAACATATATGGAAACCATAGACGAATATTAAAAGAAAATCAAAGTTAAAAAATATCATTATTTTGTGAAAAAAATACTACACCAATTAACAAAATATTTACTCTAACAACATTTTCAAGATTTATTAATCCAATCTAAAAAAACATGAATCAACCATCACTAGAGTTGATTAATAGCCAATTATTTAATTTTTTGTTTAAAATTTGAGTAAAATAATACAAACAACTATTATTAGATGACAAACATAAATCATAACGAAGAATCTTATAGCTTGATTATGTGATTGATTTATAAATAGAGAAGAACAAAAAAAAAAATTGCATCAAAAAAGTTTAGATTGGTGATTTAGAACAAGGTGAATAAATTAGTTACTCTAGTTTTTTTGTTGAGAAAAGCGAGAAGTTGAATTGAAAACATCTCTTCAGTCTAATCGGAAAAATTAATAAAATGAAAACCATGAGTTGAATAATTTAGGAGATCTTGAAAATTGATGAATACTAATGAATCAAAAGGGTTCCTTTAAAACAAATGTTAAGGAAGAAGAATAATCAATTATCAGCTAAATGTGGTAATTTATCATTAAATTAATTATCAGCTTCATGTAGTAATTGATCTGGAGCCACCAAAAACACAAAATTATGGTCTCATATATGTTTGTTTCCATTTGTTTAGAATCTCAACTTTGAATCTGTAATATTTTTGTCAGTTTTCTTTTTTTAAATATAATACTTATGTTTTGCTCATATTTTTCTTAATCTTTACAAATTTTTGATCAATTTGTTTTCTTTTGATTATTTAAGTTATTCTAGTAATTATAACATATTGATAGATGTGCAGTTACTATAAAAAATTTGCATCTAAAAATTTTAGATTGGTGATTTAGATCAGTGTGAATAGATTAGTTACTCTAATATATTTTTTGTTTCAATATTTAATTCAATTTGGAAAGTTTAACTAGATTATAATATAAAGACTTTATAAATTCTATTACCCATAATTAGAAAGAATCACATTTCAATACTAAAAAAATGGGCTTATGGTTGTAGTTGTTATATACAAAAATAATTTATGTTATTTGCATAGAGAGATTCATAGGGTGCCTTAGGAGGAATTTTAAAGTTTCGTTTAGGTTCTGTTAAAAACGTTATTTCAATAAGTCATTCGTTTGACAATCGATTTTCGATTATTTTAGTTATGAGCCAAAGAAATGCTCCATTACAGCCAGTGTCACTTAATTAGGAGGTGTAGACCAACTGACCAAGACCAATTATCTCGTTGATGCTTCTTACAAAATTGTAAGTTTCTCGTTGACTTTTTAATCAAAACACAAAAATGATTATAATTTCCTTTTCTTTTGTTGTTACCTTGATGGTCAGTCATTGGAATTATCGAAACAGAGTAACCCTGCCATGAACCAATATACTCATTCTTCATTCTGTTTCATAATATAAGTTGTTTTAGGTTAAACATGCATATTAAAAAGATCTACTTATTAAAAGTTTAACCAATCATAAAAGAGACTGCATAATATAAATAATCATAAAATATTAATTAAAATAATATATAATTTACATTAAAACTCAAAAACGACTTATATTATAAAACAAAAGGTTTTATCCAAAATGCCATGAAACGGAGGGAGTATGTATTATTCCCTTAGAGCAAACACAGCGGAGTAACCGAGCATGGGGTGTGAATATTTTAAAAATGAGAAATAATATACTGCGTTGTCTCTCTCTTCACACTCGAATTTTAACTCACACCCGAGTGTAAGATAATAAAAAAATCTTTCTCTCTTTCTCTCTCTTTCTTTCTCTCTCTCTTTTCTCTCTCTTTAAATTAAAATAATAAAAAAATATTTACACCCCACTAACACACACCCACCCAAGTTTACCATTGCTGATGGTCTTATGAGACCCAACAGAAACAGCCATGTGAAGATCCACCACTCTGTATTAAATGTTTATAAGTACGAAAGAAAAAAATGTGAAAAGGGTCCCACCTTTTATATTTGGTAAAGATTTGATTAATCATAAAGTTTTAGCTAGCTTTGAACGTTTATTTGTGAAGAAAATGAAAAAAAAAAAAAAAAAACCATATCAACCATTTGCTCAAAAAAAGAAAAAAACTATATCAACCGGTAATTATTTAATTCATCACAAGAACACTTAATAATGTCTGATTAAATCTCACAGCCAACAAAGAACAGAACCATTATTCGATCGAATCATTTTCATTATTTTCCCATCACACGTTCACAAGACAACAAAGAACAAGTCTCCAAGTTACACACACACATATTTCATTCACTAATCTCACACGATCCAAGAGAGAGTCTTCCGGATCTCAGACCCGACCCGACCGACACTTTCCCTAAGCGAAACCGGACAGTTATTCCGAACAGCACTGAGCTCATGCGGGGATGTATCGGACGCAAGCCATTGCTCAACATCGAAGCTTTGGTACGAGCACTTTGCATGAACTCCGGCTGTCGTGACTTCCACGTAGTTAACATACCAACCGTGGTGGTCACCGGAGCCGTCAGAGGTCAGATTCAATGAACAAACTGGGCTCGGAAGACACGGTGCTTTCCCACTGAAAATGTCGAGATTACCCCTCTCGTAGTAGTTGTAACCTGGTCCCATTAAACCACCCCATGCTTCTAGGTTTCGGATCCCGATGTAGTCTCCGTATTTGTCGTAGACTCTAGCGCTTATGATCGAATCTGTACCGGCTTTGAAGATTGAGCCGGTTCTAAGGTAGAATGTGTAGACACAATCTGCTTCATCGTCCTGTTAAATCAAGAAAATCAAGAAAGTGAATTTTTCATAATGGGAAGAAACAGAAGTTTGTAGTCTAATAGTTTAAACTAAAGTCATTGATGTTGTGTCATTATACATATTCAAATCTGGTTAATGTGTGTGTCTAGTTCTAGACGAAAGCATATATGAGGGCAAGCAAGTGAGATTTGGAAAACTTACGGCGAATGCGACGGCGGAGACGGTGGCGATGACGAGGAGGAGGGAGAGGAAGAGAACGTCACGGCGAGGCATCATCGGTGATATGGATGTAAGAAATAGAGATCTAGTCTATGGAAATATTAATAGAAACGTTGAAAAGTGTATGAGACTTTAGATTTCAATGAGTTAATTATCGTGTGTTTTTGGGAGTTGCGTATGAAGATGACGTGGTAATTTTTGGTCCGTTGGAATGAAATAAGAATAATTAAGGATCCTATAAGCACGTCGTTAACTCGGCGGACAGGTCGGCATGGGTTGTCAGATTTCTAAATTTTTTGTATTTTTTTCGTCACAAACGCAATTTTTGTAAGATTCAAATGCACTTCACTTTTCAGCAAATATAGTTTCCAAATTTTTATACATTATACATATAATGTAATGCTCCCAATACAACATGGTTCACGTGGATTGGAGCCGGGCAAGAATTTGAGAACGTTAAGAGCATGTGCAGTGGGGAGAATCTCTTTTAGTCTCTCAAATATATTATTTTAATAATTTTTATTTAAATTTTGTTTGTATTTAAAATTTAAAGTAGAAATAAAACTCATAACTAATTATCTTAAGATATGTGTCAAATGAGTCTTTCACAAGGTTCACAAAGTTTCTCATTTGAGAGATTTATTTTATTCTTTTTCTTACTTTTTTATTATTTTATATTTTTTTGTGGATGAGAGACTCATTGAGAGATTCTCACTAAACATGCTCTAAGAGCATCTCCAATGGAAGAAAAATAGAGCTCTCATGACAGTCTCTCTGAATTATTGTGAAAAAAAATAAATCAGAAAGCTTTAATATTAAGAGAATCGTTTCTCTTAGGAGAGATTTTGGAGCTGAAGAGAGACGCATACGTGGCGATGGAGAAACTGAGAGCCTCTGACGTGTTGCGGTGTGGTTGGTTGAAGGGTTTTGTATGAAAGAGAAAAAACTATTCCCGTGTTTCTTTTCTTCGTCGCCTCTTTCAATGCGATTGTGAAATCGGAAGCGAAATCTCTCAAATCGGAAGCAATCGGAGGGTTTTTTTCACCAGTATCATCATCTCAACGGATGCTCCGGCCGACGGTGGCGCGGCGGCTGTAGTGGAGGAACAAACCGAATTCGATGTGGTTACTGGTTATCAATGAAGTTCCAAGTAGTTCTCGTATTGCTGTGATTAAAGCTGTTAGGGCTTTGACTACCTTGGCGTCGAAGGAAGCTTGTGAGCTAATTGAAGGATTACCCAAGAAGTTTAAAGAAGGTGTGACTAAAGATGAAGCTGAATAAGCTAAGAAGACTCTTGAAGAAGCTGGTGTCTCCATTGCTTAAGGTTATTTAAAGAAGTTCTTCTCTTTTCTGGAAATTTCGGGATCTTTTGTGTTGTTTAGTATAGTTTGCGTCTGAAATTGTTGTAATTTGAATCTCATTTGGTTTCCAAGAGCTGATTTTGCCATTGACGTGAGATTTTGGTAGCTGCACATAACGTGTTTGTTGAAATGCCTAAATGAGGCAATCACTCATAGACGAAGTTAGGAGAAATACATTGAATGTTTGTTATTGCTGAAGAAGACAGTGACATCGATGATTCTGCCTGATTCGATAGAGAAATACATTGAACTTAAACTTTATGAAAAACAATGAATGTTTGGATACAAGAACTAAAAACTCTTATCTGTGATGATTAGTTCAGGGAATGTAATTATGTAATAGAAAGTAAAGCAATAGAGTAGTGTGTGTGCTTTGTCTCATCCTTTACCATGTCTTTTGATCCTAGCTTGTGTTTTTGCTGTGTATTGATTTGTGACCTCAATTCAACACTATCGAAAGAGTGAGATTCAAGATGGAACAACTAGATTGGAGTAGTGGTGGTGATACGAGATTTGAGCAAGCATCATCATGTTCAGCTTTAATATGTTGTTGTTGTTATTTGGATATTTGTTCACTCTTTTATTGAGTTTCTTGAATGTGTTTGAGCAAGCATCATCACTGGCAATGTTCCATTTTGCTGAAACCCTCTCGCGCTGCTTCATTGATTCATTCAATCTCTATATTGTCTATGCTATGAAATTTGAACGTGCTTTATTTTGAATGTGTTTTTGATGTAGAAGACACCAAATCTGTCTTGTATAGGCTAAGTAGGAGACAAGACACTCAAATCAAAATATGTGTAGATCATGAATCTTTCATTTGCATTTGACAAGTTTTTGATGTGATTATGAACTATTGAAACACCAATTACACCAAACACCAATGACTCCAATTATTTTTTCCTAATTCATCAAATTACATCAAAACCAAACATCAAATTACATCAAAATCAAAATATTTTCAAAAAAAAAAAATTTCTAAGAACCCACTAGAGAAACTATCATTGGACTAAGAAAATTTTAAAAAGAAAAACACAAGTTCTCATCTAAAAATTTCAAAAAAAATATGTTTAAACAATTGGTGAGAGCCCATGGGGGACTCTCACCATTGGAGATGCTCTAATATTTCTTTTTGCAAAAAAAATAAATAAATAATATATCTTTTTGCTTTTGTAAGAAAACTTTCGATTGTATAAAATTGTAGAACTAGACCATATATATGAAGATAAGATTTATTTTCCTTGATATTTTCATGTACATCTGTTTTTCATAAATAAAAAGTAAGGGATTGTGGGTCTAAATAGTAACCGAGGAATCAAGCTGAATCCGGCTGAATTGCTGAATCTAGCTGAATTTTTAGTGATTTTTAGCTGAATCTGGCTGAATTTTTACATTTTCAAATGGTAACCGCTGAATCTAGCTGAATTTTTTTGTGATTTTTAGCAGAATCTGTAGAAATAATTAAGACTTTAATTGAAATATATCGTCAAATAATTATGAATATTAATATAATAACTAAGAAAAATATCTAAATAAAATAGATAAAATTATCTAATAGTCTAATTAACTCTTATACTATAAATAAATACTATAATTCATATTATTATTAAAAATATATTGTTAGCAAAATTAAGTTGTTCTTCCAAATTTAATTTTTTGAACTATGTAATTAATTAATAAAAAGCTTTGTTAAAGTTTTATTGAAAATTTAATTGAAAAATAAACATGATAATATAGTATAGATTATCTAACTGATTGTTAATTGTTCTCTAGTAGTTTAAAATCATTAATATGATTAGGATGATTAAGATTTTTTAAAAAATTTGATATTTTAAATATTTATTTTAGCATAAGTATGAGTTATTTTTGCGAAATTTTGAAAAATATATTTAATTATCTAAAAGTTATTTAAATTATCTAAAATTATCTACAGTTATCCGAACATAAATTCGTCTCTTGTCTATTCTGATAATGATTTTATGTATCTGAATTATTCATGTATCGTATTTGTATGATCTGACTTATTTTAAAATATAAATTCGAGTTGTGTAATCGCTATAATCCGAATTTTTACCTGAAATAAACATACTACGTATCTTTTGGTGTTGGAAGAACTGTTGAATGTAGCTGAATTCAGCTGAATTTAGTTTTATGCAAATGGTAACTGCGGAATTGCTGAATCTGGCTGAATTCAGCTGAATATTTTTTCTATGTTACCATTTACACTCTGTGTTTTTCAAAGAAAAAAAACGAAATAAATTTTGGATAGTATTGTCAGCCAAGCAGCAACAAGGCCCACCAACATAATTTTGAATGACCGGTTGCTGCGGATTAATTAATGTGTTTAAATACTTTATATAATTAAAAAAATGTTACAAAGCTGGGAAAAACGTCCAGTACTGTTAAACAATAGAGAAAAGTAACAACAGAACTTAAACAACAGAGAAAAGTAAGCTTGGCACAATTCAAACCAAGTGAACTAAAAGGTGTTAGCTGAGGACGAGATACGCTGAACCCGAGACAAAGGATCAAGTCGATCTACACATAATTGTGGTCTTGACTTTTAAAATTAGGGCAACTGGTGGACGAGAGAATTAATTGTGAAGCCTAGCATTCCGTTCCTTCCATATGGAGTAGATAGAGGCTTGGAAAGCTCCTTTTGAAGATGAAAGCTATATTTTAGTCGCGGCATGGGTCTTTCATCCATCTAACCCCATCCATAAACAAGGTTGGAGGAGATACATGGGCTCTTAAGGTAAAGAAAGACCAAACATAGTCCTAGTTAAGCGGAAGCGAAGAAGATGTGTAGAGAGGATTCATCATAAGCATTGCAAAAGAGGCAAGTAGATGGAACATGAAGACCCCAATGCAGAAATCTGTCTCTCGTGTGTGATCGTTGTCTAGTAGCAACCCATGCTATGAAAGCATGTTTGGGAGTCCTTCCTTAAACCAAATCGCTTCATCATGCCAATCAACAGCCGAGGAATTAAATAATGCTAAATTTGAGAAGTATTGAAATTTGTGTTGGAGGCTTATCACTAATCTTCCAAAGACAAGTATCATCTCCCGTATCATGGCTGACGATGTCCGGAGATGGTAAACATTGTCTCCAAAACTGAATGCCCATCCCAAGATTCTCAACGTATATTCATATATACACATTTTTTCTCTTTATAAAGAAATAAAAGTTCGTAATATTAAAGCGGACTGTTTAGCCCGTTCTTCTAGGCTATTATTTTTTGAAGTTATTTTTGTAAACACTTCTTCTCTTAATTGAGTAACCAACCAAGGAGTTTTTATTAATTAATGTATGGTTGACAAAAAAAATAAAAATAAAATAAAAGTTGCAAGAGAATTTAATTAAAAAAACATTTTAGTAAAATTTTTGGTCCAGCTAAAATATTGAGAAATGTGGAGAAATACCACACAACAAATCAAATGGTTGAAGTTCTAAACGTTAGGTTGTAAATTCGGAAAACAATATATAAACTCTGGCATCTTTTCAGAATTTCCCATTTTTTAGCTTGATGGTAGGAAACTTCTCAAAAATACTATATTATATATTTTGTTTTACAAATTACCAGGAAAATCTAAGAAAACGCAAAAATTCTGAGTTTATGAAGGGGTCCTAAAAATTTATGATGATGGTCTAAAACTCTAAATGATTAATAAACTCTGATGAAAACATTTTTAAACCTAAATTTTGTGGTGCTTTTGTATTTTTTTTTTAAGTTGTGTGTATTTTTGGAACGAATATGTGTTTATCGATATATTAATATAATCATTAATTTAAATTTAAAAGGTGATATTTGTTGGGACTGAATTTTTTAAAAGAAATTTAAAGACAGAAAACATTACAAATATGTTTTATATAAAATATGTGCTAACTTTTCTAAGATTTTACACATGTATGTTTTATATGCATAGATAATTTATGTTAGAAAATCGATAATCATTGATAGGACTATATATGAGTACTGTAATGTAGTTTTCTAAATAACAGAAAAGGGAAATCCAAGGTGAGTTGGCTAACTCTAAATAGCAAAATCTTCTCCAAACCAACCAAAAGTTTGAGTCATGCAACAACAACCACTTACTTTTCCAATGCAAACCCTAATTTTCGCATCCTCTCTTAATTCTCTCTTTCGTCTTCTCTCTAGACCAATCTCCACCACACATCTCGTAACTCCCACCTTTCTCCGATGGAGGGGCCACGGCGTCCTCCTTCCGCCACCGCCCCTGAATCTGACGATGACAAACCCGATGATCCTCCGTCCGTTTGGCACCGTCCAACCTCCAGCCTCCCCGCATTGCCATCTCTAGATCCTCCATCACACCATTGGCGTAATCATTCTCTTAATCTCTCTCCACTCCCAACGACATCTTCTCCGTCTCTTCCTCCTCCGGATTCAATCCCTGAGTTAGAGACGTACGTTGTCCAAGTCCCAAGAGATCAAGTCTATTGGACCCCTCCTCCGGAACATGCAAAATACGTCGAAAAACGCCGCAAGAACCCGGAGAAAAACAAAAAGAAAGGGTGTTCTAAACGTCTTTTGTGGTTCTTCATTATCTTGGTCATTTTCGGATTCATTCTCGGTGCAATCATTCTCATCCTCCATTTCGCTTTCAACCCCACTCTTCCTGTTTTCGCGGTCGAAAGATTAACCGTAAAACCTAGTAATTTCGAGGTCACGTTGAGAGCTGAGAATCCAACGTCTAACATGGGGGTACGCTACATGATGAAAAAGAACGGGGTCGTTTCCTTAACGTACAAGAATAAGAGCCTGGGAGGCGGGACATTTCCGGGGTTGTCCCAGGCCGCATCTGGATCCGACAAGGTCAATGTGAAGCTTAATGGGTCGACCAAGAACGCAGTTGTACAACCTCGTGGCTCGAAGCTACCGTTGGTTATGATGCTGAAGATGGAGCTGAATGCTGAGTATGAAGCAGGGCCGGTCAAACGGAACAAGGAAGTGGTGGTGACTTGTGATCTGAAGGTTAAGGGACTATTAGATGCGAAGAAGGTTGAGATTGTGTCGGAGAATTGTGAAAGTGAGTTCAAGAACTGACACTCGCTCTATATATATTTTATATATAACATGATTGTGTCGTTAGAGTTACAATGTGCTTAATTAATTCATACTTTCTATGTAATGTTCAATTGTTCATTTTTTTTCCTAATAATGTCTTTGTTTTTACTCTATATTGTTGAGCGACAAAAGAAAACGTGAACAAGAAGAACACAATAGAAAGAGCGTCATTTTTTTTTTTTTTGATTGTACGTACCTTTGCTTTGGAGATTACAAATAAAGTTAGTTTAGCCCAGATGGTAAATCAAAACTGTTTCTCATATTCAGAACTCATAAAAAAGAAGGCTGAACTTCTTTTCCTTTACTTGGGCTGATCATAATTGGGCCTGAATGTAAATGTAAAAGTTCAACTCATAAGATTTTTTTTCCTATACCAAGTGTGTACAAGTATCAATAATACTCCAAAAACTTGATGGGATCATTCTCATTTCTCAGTGTTGTTAGTTTAATTATTATTATAAAAATGTAGCTTACAGGTTGGAAACTTAAATGCTGCCTATACATTTCTATTAGTTTACTCTTTTTTCTGTTGGAATGTGAAATTTATTTTCAACAAAGATATATATATTTCCACAAATGGAGAATTTCAAAAGTTGGAAGAAAAAAAGAGTTTTGAAAGAATGAAAATTTGAAAAGAAACAAATAGACTTTTACAAGACTGAAAGTTGAAAAGAAACAATCTTGACATGAAGTCGTGAAGATAAGGCATGTTAAAATATAGAGAGGAGGGAGGATACCCGATCTGTTATTGTTTTGTCG